GCTGCCTTTTCAAAAAAGGCTTAGAAGAATGTAACACCTGTGAGATTTTTTGTCAATTAGTCTAATTTAGGTGGAACTGACCACATCAGAACATTCCTGTGGAACACTGACAGCCGAACACTGACAGCCCAGGCAATGCAAGTGCATATGAACAATTTCCTCAGGAAACCAGACGTAAGGTGTTTGTAAGAGTATTGCTAGGAACAGTGCGTGGTTTATCTCTGTAACCACCTTTCTCTTTTCAAATCAAGATTTCATCTTGCTTCTAAAACTTTGCACTCCAGGTAAAGAGAGATTTTCAGAGCCAGAAAAAGGTGATCAGCAGCTTCAAAAAGTTTTACACTTAATAGAAGTTATAAATTTTATGGTATATATAGATCTACACAGAGTAATACACACACACACACACACACACACATCTTGTGATATTATCAATCCCGATTATTTGTTCAAAATAAGGCATCCTTCTTCATTTGTGGTTGCGGGAAGACAGGCAGCATAACAACGATATATACACTTAAAGAAAGGTACTAAGTTTTGGTCTTAAGTATTTTTTACTGTGATGAGACATTTCTGCTGTTCAATACAGCTTGAAAATACAGGAATATATATTTGCAAATATAAAAACATAGAATGCTTTGAGTTGGAAGGGACCTCTAAAGGTCATCTAGCCCATCCCCCCTTGCAGTGAGCAGGGACAAACATGATTTGTTATAAATAATCTCTCTCTAAAAACTGCGTACTTGAGTTAATTCAATTATTTCTTTTTTAATATGTACGCCTGCTTTACTCATTCTTTTCTTGCTGATCTACTACATGGAATTATCTGGAAGCCATGAAATTATCAATCTTATAAAAATCATCCTGCTGCAATAAAATTCTGTCATTTGTACTTTCCAGCAATACTTGGATTCCACAAAGAAATTCTATCTAGCAGAACTGGAAGCAGTCAATTTTAAATACACTGAAGAAGAAGCCAGAGAGAAGATTAACCTCTGGGTGGAAAATGAGACAAAAGGTAGAGAAGAATATGTGCAGGTTGTTTGGTTTGCAATCCAACCAGTTAGGAATAGCATGTCTAAATTTCAGTTTCCACCTTTTTTTTTCAAAAAACAGCAAGATTTTTATATATTAAACACTTGCTGTGCTTTTTTTGCTCAATAGGAAATAAATGTAGGAAGAAGTATAAAAATGCCTTGAGTTCCTGGCTTCAAAAGCTGTACATAAACTTTTTGTTATTTGTCTGACAGCATTATACTACTTTTCAGATTTACAGGAGTAATTATTAATATTCAAATGAAGCTGATTGCCTGAAAAAAGTAATAATTCTTTTTAATTAATTATTTTTAAAGGTAAAATCAAAGACCTGTTTGCTGCTGGGTTTATTGATCCCTCCACTGTACTTGTCCTGGTCAATGCTATATATTTTAAAGGAAAGTGGGCAGCAGAATTTAAGAAAGAAGACACTAAGGAAACATATTTCCAACTGAACAAGGTATGGTATGGGCAGGAACCGACACAGCTGGGGGATGGAAATCAGATGCCAGTCTCCAATAACAAGAGATGGAAGCTTTCCTCCTCTCTGTTATCCCAAACTAAAACACTGGTCTTCAGCTAGAACAATGGAAAGCTACATCTTCTCTCCAGTTTGATAACCAAATATGTAACTGTTTCTCTCACTTCCCATCAGAAGAGACTCTTGTGCAAGCTGAGATCATGGCTGGGTCAAAGTCACTGATCTCACGCACTGACTCAGTTGGGGATTTCACAACTAAGCATGCTGTTTCAAAAGCAGTCTGCTTTTGGGACTGACTTTGAGGTTTCTGTTCCTCTGCTACTATTTACCAACGGAACAGTGTTTCTTTTCAGGAAAAAATGAGCTAAAGACAAATTATCTCGGGAGCAGGTATACATTATTAATGAAGAATTTAGATTCATGGTTGTATCAGGTACATCGGTTTCCTCATCTGACATGCCAGAAAAAAGAATGACATAACAAGGGAGTTGCGAGTAAAGTAATCTGGCACCAACAGAAGTGGAAAAGTATGTTTTATGCTTCTAAAGTGGGTAAGTTCATTGGAGCTACAGTTAAGAGGTAGGAACACATCGATGCTACGAGCACATTAAACCCACAACCAGTGTAAATAATGTTTTTTGGACTGAACTCTAATCTCAGTACAGAAACCAATTACAACCAGCGTGATCATTTCTGTATTTCTGTATTTTCTGCTTAATATGCTTCATGTGTTCTAGAAGGAGAAAAGGACAGTGCAGATGATGTTTCAAGAAGGTTATTTTAACATGGCCATCATAGAGGAACTGAAAATGAAAGTGATAGAGCTCCCATACTTCAACTATGAACTGAGCATGTTCATTCTTCTTCCTGAAGTTGTCTATGAAGACCTTACTGGCCTAGAAGAGGTAATGCTTCTTTTTCTCTCTAGTAGCATACATAAGGGGCTGCAAACAGAGCAATACTTTAACACTGCTCCAGCGTGGTCAGAAGGCAAGCAGGAAAAACTGAACCTTATTATCTTTTCCTTCCGTTCATTATGGTGTATTATTGTCAATACCGCATTACAGCTTGAATGCGCCATCACGTATGAAAAACTAGCAGGATGGACCAGCTCGGCTAGGATGCAACAGCTGAGAGTGAAGGTGTACCTGCCCCAGTTTAAGATGGAGGAAAGTTACGTTCTCAACAAAACTCTCCAGGAGATGGGAGTGATGAATGTTTTTGACTGGGGAAAAGCTGATTTATCAGGGATCTCTAGGAAAGATGGTTTAGTTGTGTCCAAGGCCATCCAGAAGTCATTTGTGGAAGTCAATGAAGAGGGAACCGAAGCAGCTGGTGCCATGGGACTTGTTGCAGTGCCTCTGTGTCTCCCAGTTTCTTATGAGTTTAAAGCTGACCATCCATTCCTCTTCTTCATCAGACACAACCCAACCAACACCATTCTCTTCTTTGGAAGATATTCCTCCCCTTAAGTGGAGGTTATTTTTGAAATTAGATCTTTCTCCCCACTAACATCTGCATTGGCAAGCACTGAGGACAAAAGCACATTTTCACTAGGCTTTACCCTAAAGTGTTGATTGCTGTAAAAAAGACCATCTGATAAGAGCCAAATTAGACATAAAAACCTAAAACCTCTTAACTATTTCCTTTCTAACATCAACTTCAGGTATGTTTTACTTTTAGGAGGTCTCACTAAAATGACATCTACCTTAAAATACACTATGTAATTTTTGCCAAAGAGCTGTAGGCCTCTAGAGACGTCTGCATAGAAAATCCTATTTTGATCCTTTCCTAATGTAGCATGCCTCCAATAAACCCATGATTTTACTGCCCTAAAGATGAGTGATAGATTCTTCCACATGAAGGAGACAGGAGGATAGGGATCTACATTAAAAGGATAAACTTAGGTACTCAGTCTCTTTTAGCTTTACCTATCCAACCTCTGTATAGCTCTCAAGAAAAATACCAATTTATATGGGAGTAGCAGAGTATTCCTGTGGGACCTTTCCTTAAATGTTGATTGGGGGTAATGGTTCAATCTGGAATGAGGCTCTTGGGATTTGTACTCAGAGTGCAGAGAAAGCAGAAAACTTTTCTGGTGTAATCTTGCTTGTCTAAGCAGGGCAGACCCATTCCTTATTTTTTCCTGTGGGAAACCCTGTATGTGTTAGAGAGTTCTCCAACTTCTTCATAAACTTCCACGTAACAAAAAACAGTGTTTCAGAATAATGGAAAGCCTTTTCTGACAAGGTCTGCTCTGCGATGGCTGTGAATGAGACACTTAATTCCCACATAAAACTTCAAGCTCTGATCAGCCATTCTTTCTTTTAAAAAAAGCGCTCCCTTTCTTTGTGCCTCTGATACCATGAGTTTCTTGTTCCATCTGTTTTATTCCTCATCAGCATCAAAAAACTAATAAAAACATCTATAGTGATGGTATTTATATGAGTAGCCTATATTTGTTCCACTTATCGTAATAAAACCACTGCAAACTAAATATTAAATGTAATAGTCTGCAGAATTTAGTGGACAGAGGAATAGTCTCTAGCAGGTAAAAATAATGGCAATCCTTTCAAAAGTGACACTAAGTGACCCAGGAGTCAGACTCCCGTTTTAAAATATTCATTATGTTAAGTTTAGGCACTGGACAACGCGACATTATGATAGGTAAACCCTGAACCTCACCTACTGCTTCTCTCTTGCATTTGATTTTACCAGGGAATTACGAGGGTTTTAGGACACAGCTGAGCCAGTCTGATGCTACTGAGGAGGAGGATGCTGCTGTCCTTGTCTCCTTCCTTCCATGTCTTCCTGCTCCCTCCCTTACGCCACCACTATTACTTGCCTGACTAGGTGACGAGCAGTTCTCTGGGACCTACATCAAGAGGAAAATTTTTTGTAGAGTTAATTTGGTTGCTGATGACCTAGTTCCCTAAACCACCTCCTGGATGTTGCAGAGTAGGTGGTGGGAAGGCATAGGGAGGGGTTATGGAGAAGAGAGCAGCCTGCACTGTTTGGCAGCAGGCAATGTCCAAAATGAAACATGAAAAATACTTGCTTTTAAAGCAGAAATATTCCACCTCTTTGATGACTCACTCACCTTTTCCTGTTGCTCACTGATGGGAAGAAGGGAAACACTGGGAGCATACTAGTGCCATTTCAGACCTGCGGATTCAAAGGGCTCTTCCAAATGCTGATATATGCAGGAAAAAATTACAGTAAATTACAGTATGCCACAAAAATTCAATTGCTAAATAAAGCAGACTCATGGTAGTCTGTGGAGCTGCATCACATGGCTGCAATTTTAGTATGAAATACATCCTGAAATAGTAAAATTACCAGTAAAGGCACAGTTTTCATATCAATTAGCTGGTAAGAGAAGAGAACACCAAACACAGGCTGTGGGCTCTTCTGATGAATAGGGTATGCAAAAAATAGCCATGCATGTTTTTCAGTGACTGTCATCGGTATTCTGGTTTGCCTCAAATATAAATTACTTATGTTAACAAAAAAAAAAAAAAAAGACTGAAATGAACGGTGTTAAAATGTATTAGCTTGCATAACCAGACCTAAGTAACCTATGTAAAAGAAAAACAATTCACGGCATATGGGATAAAGGCAAGTGCTGTAATATATTATCCTGAAGAGCAGGAGTCTCACAACAGGAAAAGAAATTCTGTGTGTCAGCAAAGGAGGAGGTGTGGCTGAAACAAGGATTGTCACTTAGCTTACTACAGAATAAGTAGTCACTTACGATATTTGATTTTTTTCTTTTAGACTTGCTCCAGGGATATTTAGATAATTTTGACACCAGGAATGAAATATAGTCTAAATAATAAAAAAAAAAGTCTATTTTCTCTTCCCATAATCTTTTTTCTAATTGCTATCTTACTTTGTAAAACATCTAGAAAATGTGGTGAAAATGACCAGGATCTGGAAAGCAGCCTCTTGCTGCTAGTGTAGTGGTAGCAGCTTCCATTGTAGAAAAAATATAAGGTAAACCCTCTACTCTGGCAGCAAGTGCTTCTCCTATGGGGAACTGTAGCTTGTAAATGTGCAATGCCAAACAACAGAGCTTACAGAGCTGAGAAAATCTGGAGACTCCAAATGGTGCCCGGAGCAGACACGATCCTGAAGGGGATGCCACTGCCTCTTCCCCAGGGACAGGCTTGATGCTGGGTGTTGCTGCACAGCCTGTTGAACCACGCCGGCAACCTCACAGCCTGCAAACACGTACACTGCCAAAAAGCAAAGCGAAGGAAGTCAAATACTATTTGCATGAATATCCGTGGAAAGATAACGCTCATTTGTCCCGCACTTGACAGATCTGTGTCTTTCCACGGTCTGATTGCTGAGTAACTCTCAGTTTAAATACTCACCTTTCCGCTGAACTCTGATCTCTTTGATGGTTGCATTTCTCCTCAGTTTTCTCTGATATTTTGCTTTCCTTTAAACTGTTTCTTAGTACCTATGCATAACACAATTGTTATTGTGTCTTCAAAAGACTTGCCATGGATGGACAAGGAAGGCAGAGGAAGATTTTTGGGTTATCACTGAAAAAGCCAAAGAGAGCAGTTTTGAGTCATACTTTTTTTCCTATATCAAGACTACTGCTTCTTTCCCTCAAACTATAACTGGTAGAAGGTTTTATACCAGGAACTCCTGGTTCCTTATTATCCCAGTAAGAAAGGCACCCAGACTCTGTAAGGTATGACTTCAAATGCCATTTATTGGAGCTAATACTGTAAAGAAAAAGAAGAAATCATTGATAAACTTAAGTCCCTTCAGAGGCTGCATAGATGAGCAGCTGTGTGCACCAGGCGAAGAGCAGCACCGCTTGTCAGAGAGCACCACAAGCACGACACGGTTGCAGTGAGTGAGATCCAGCTGCCTGAGGTAATGGGGTAAGCCTCTTTCTTTCTTTTGGCAAGCATGTGCAGCAGGAAAAAAGTCACCATTTTACTGCTGCTTTATTATTACAAATTGAGTTATTGCTAGAGCCAACTGACAATCAAGGAGCATAGAGGACTGGTGGATGTGCCCAAGCCTTTTACCTTGGGTTGCTGTGCAAACACAATACACATTGTCATACCAGCTCCTGTGAGCTTTGAAGGGGAAAGGACACATTAGGCATTAACTTTATCCTGGGCCTGACACACTCCCTCTCTGAGAGGTTTAGTAGAAGGTGCTGGTTGTCTTCAAACTGCTGGCACTAATACCAATGACAGTCTGCCTCAGACTGTCTGCACACCACACAGAGCTGATCGTCTCCTGAGGTCCCTTCCAACCCTTGCCATTCTGTGATTCTGTGATCTCTAGCACAGCAAATACCATGACTGAATAAAAAGCACCTGAAATCCTGTAAATGGAACTTCTCTGGCCACATCTCAGTTGACTGAGAGATGCCAGTATAGCCTTCGCTAAGTGTAATGCAGATAGACAGGCCATCGAATGCATAAGCAAACATTACCCCCAAACACTGCAAAAGAGTTGCTGAGCAACCATAAGAAATGAAATGTGAAAATCTGAACAAAGAATTGTAGAAAGAGCTGCTTTTTTTTACTGCTTAATATCTCCTTGATTATGCCAACACTGGGAAAGAATGGGAAACCCCATGAATTGGTTTAGGAACAGCTCCACGATGGACTAGCTGGGAGGTAAAGGGAAGCAGAGTCCTTGCTGACCTCTTTTCTGGGACAAGCATGGATATGGAGCAGAATTTAACCTGCTTGTCTTGCTTTACAGTGCTACAGTCTTAGCTTTCAAATTTCAGAAGCAGCATCTGATTTCCTAAGGTCCAATGCCCTATTTTAAGTTACAAAAGAGCACTTTGCTGCTGACTGCACATGGACAGCCTGTCCTGATCAAAATTTTCAGCTGCTCACAGGCTGCTTCTCCAACCACTTTTTCACTAACATTCAGTGTAGAAAAAAATACAAAACAAACCCAAGGGTGTGTAGTGACAGACTGCTCTCTGGAGAAGTTGTACTGCCCTATCCATGACTACTGGCAGAAACAAACTTCTTCTCTTCCATGAGCTCATTTGCTTTGAGTATTTTAAACTATCTTGCCTGCCTTGAAAAATTAGGTTTTCACATTAGGGTAGCTAGCATAATTCAGAAACTGAGCAGTTACCAGATGTTCAACCAGCTTACCTGTGTGGAAAATTGTTGTGGTGATTGTGCTGCTGCAGAGATATGAAATGTAGAGTGTACAAAGAAGGCAGTTATATTGGCTGGGAGAACATACCAGAAACACTTACGTGCCCTCTTCTAGAGGAGTTGGTGCAATGAAATGTTTGTTGAGAAAATCTTGGATGTTGGGCAAAGAGCTGGCCATCTGTGCAGGGACAGTGGTGCCCTTCAGGTGCATGCTCCATGGATGTCCATGCAGGACAAACAGACTGAAGCAGAGCATACAAAGGAATGTGGGTGCCCAGGAAGGCTCTTCATGGAGGCCCCAAATGCATGTTTGAGCAATTGCTGACCAGTAGCTGGAACTCTACTGTGAGTATGTGAAAATGGGTGAAGACGAGAAGACACGCTACAGCTCTTTCCACACAAAACCTGTACCCTCGGGCAGTAACGGTTTGATAGGATAACGTAAAAGCTACAGCAGCCCAGCTCACAGAATAAGGAACATTGAACAAGGTGAGAGGAAAGCTGCTTACTGTCTTTAGATTTTCTCGTCCTCATCACTGCTATAACATCCCCAGGCAAAAAGCTCATTCTGAGTTGGGAAACTGAAAGCCACCGCAATTACCAGCCTCTGCATGTACGTACCTGCATTTCAGCAAAACAAAACACACT